TTAATCCTGGTATACTGAGCTTCCTTCTCTAATTCTTGTTCAATAACATTAACCAATTCCTTTAGTAAGGTGCCATGGTCAACATGTTTTTTAATAACGCCAATGATAGATTCAACACGTTGTGTAGATTCCATACCTGCCGTAAACACCTTTGCTACTGAATATTTTGCCCATGAAGTACGACTATTATAAAGCTTTTCTAGATATGAATAACATAACTCATACTTTGTCAACATATCATAATATCTTGCTTCAAATTGCTCTTGACTATAACTATTTCACATATTATAAAAATTTTCAACAAAATGTTTTATCACCTCACCTCGGAGCTTGGCCCTTGCCTTTTTTTTAACATTCTCAAGAAGGTGGTAAATACATAACATATGCCATGTCTGTGGATATGAAACATGAACTGCAGCAATCATTGCTGGGTCATCATCAGTGAATAACACTTTGGGCTGAAGGTTATTAGATCCTTTTAATGAACATTGTAAAATCCAATTATAATCATTCTGAGTTTCATACTTTATTAGTGCTTGAGCAATGATTCTAGTTTTAAAGTTGTTATCAACACCAATGAATAAACTAAGTGCTATTTTATACTGGTTAGTTTTTGCTGTATTATCATGAACCACAATATCGTGAAACCTCATCCATAGATCACACTGTTGACTGGTCATCCAAAAAAGGCCAGTAAGTTCATTAGATGGCCCCTCAAGCATTGGTATAACTAGATAATCTGGGTCTTTATTAAGTTGACTTAAGAGGTACGAAAGCATTGTGCCCGCATCAGATTCATCATGTATTTGTACACCACTAAACTTATGAATTACATTATACAAGTTCTTTTTTTTTATACTATACTGGGGGAACTCCTTAACAATAAGATTGTATTGCTAATCAGTGCCCAAATGACCATGTGTAGTATAATGCTCAATCTTATCTAAGATCTCCCATGAAAGACGTAAGTTTTTTGGCACTAATTCTATAGTTGCCAGATCACAATTATGATTGTGCTTATTCTCAAATTTAGTAAGCCTAATACTTTTTGTATGCTTTCCAAGGTAAAAACTAATGTCTCATTTACAATTTGATTTACTTGAACTACTATCACGATGCAAATCAATATCTTCGACCTTTTTTGGTTGATGAACACCAGCTTTTCAGCAATTATAGATACATCGATGAATAATAGATTTATCAACCAGATCAAGATCCTTATGACATTTATTAACCACAAAACCATTTTGCTTTGCAAATGAATCAACCGTGACTTGAATGGCATCCTAATTGTTAAATGAATCCCCAACTTTCAGCAACACTTCATTAATATTTACATTATGGTCATCAGTATCATTTTTCTCAGCATTTATTTCATCATAACCAGATAAGTAGTCACTAACATTGTCATAATCAAATAGCTGTTCCATTAACTTCGTAACTAAGTGATGAGAGGACAAGATTGTTAGTTAGTATGATTTTATAAAAGAAATGAACACATAAAAAAAGTAACAGTAAGCGAACAAAATATGTGAGTGTATATTTAAAGAGAAATAAAGATTAGAGTAAAGAATTTGTATAGCTTGAGTTCGACTGTAAAATGCTAAAAAAAATAGAATGTTATAATGCACGACACGTTGCTATATAAAGTAAAAGTTACAGTTTAAACTAAGAAAAGAAGTAAGTGAGAGTAAAAACTAGACTATTAGAGTTAATAGGTTTGTATAATTGAATTCGAATATAAAATAATACGATAGAATATAAAATAATACACGATATAACAACTGTAAAAAAGGTTAATCGAAGTTAATTAATAAAAAATCATTATAAGCAAACATCGCTATGACGCAAAATGTAGATATATCATGTTACACACGTGACACTGGTGACAATCACTAGTGGTAATCCATAGTAATTTTTTTTTAGAATTTATAAAAACAACTAATAAAAAAAAGTCAGAGTTCGTATAGGCAGAATTTGTTAATTTTGGTGATTATTAAAAATAAATAATAAATTTCATGAAGTTTGATCCAATCATTTATGTAATGTTGAGAAATTTCCAGTATTAAACATTAAAAATATAATAAAATTGAATTGTATGATTGTTGGCTATTGTCATCTAAGTTATCTGGGTTATGAATTGCTTATAAAACTGTCATAAAACCATCATGAAACTGTTTATGAAAACATGATTAAGTTAAATATTTTATTTGTATTTGATTGGTTAATTTTATACTTGCTTTATTATTATTTTAATATAGTGATGCTACACAATATATTTTTATTATTCTGGATAGTTATGTAATTCTATTTTATCACTTAATTTTAATGATCATGATATTCCCATTGTCATTTGGGAAATCAGCAGTCTGTCATTGCTCTTTTCCAATTCTTGTGCAACCTACAGTGACTAAGCCAAAAAAGGCATATTACATTGGTTGGTGGTTTATCCGTAGGTAAGTACTGGTCTCCTCTTTGAGTCTTTCCTTAAACCTATTCTTATTCTAATTCTTGTCTTCTTCTTACTGCCTTAACCTGGGATTACCCTTCATCAAATCGGGATTGGACTCTTATGTTTAATGGTCTTCTTGGTCACGTGACTTATGGCGAGTGATCAATTTGCGGTTTAGGGGGTTTTTGGATGAATGTTAGTAATAACAATGGGGTTAACGATAGTTATTTGTTTGGATAAGATAGTACTTTCACTTTTATTAAGTGAGGGTACTCAGTTTTATTATGCAAAGGTATTTACTTAGGGGTATCTATTCATATCCCCCCTCTGGTCAAGAAATAGTGATGGGCAAATTGCAGTTTTTTAAAAAACCTGTGCGGGATTTGCAGAATATAGTAAAGTATTTTTTTCATGAATTATAAAAATATATACAATGATAATCACTAGAAATATAATAATGATATATTTTAAATACATTTAGCATTTCAAAATGATGCCAAATTGGTTTATTAACACCCATGTTATAATAATACAGTTAGACCTCTATATAGTTACATCATATAAAATCACACCTCTATATAAGCACCTAATTTTGTTAAACAAATTACTGTAAATGTATAAAAAACACTTCTATATAAGCACAATCTTTTTATAAACACATTTCTAAAAAACTTATTATTATTCCAAATATGTAACTATAAAAAGAGTTAACTATACTTTAGTTTACTTCTGGTTTGTTCTCAAACTTTTATTTTTTTATTTAGATCTTTCTAAGTAAACTTTTGGTTTTTTTTAATTCTACAAATTTACATAGCTATAAGAACTTATTTTATATTTTTATGACCTAGTACTAGTTTGTATTCTTTTGTATAACTAAGGTTTTATAAATATCTTATGCTTTGTTAGTTATGCTAATATAATTATAGTTACAGATATTTTATTCTAATTGATTAGCATAATACTGTTATTATAATACAATATATTATACAAATAATTATTTAAATTTTAGTTATTGATAGGTTTTGAACTTATAGCATGTCATTTGAAAAGTTAACAACTTATCTACTTTACTAAGTTGTTACATTCTTAATGTCCAAATTTGATTGCTATAATGTTTATATTTGATATATAAAACTAATAAAATTATAATATAAATAATAAATATTATAACTATAATTTTTTTTATAATACTAAATTTTAACTTATATTTTATTGATTTTTTTTATTACTATTATATATAGTTATATTATATTTGTACTACTAAATTACTTTTTGATTTAAACATTTAACATAATACTATATTTATATATTTTATATATTTTATAATGTTTATAATATATTTTAATTATCAGTAAAATTGTTATTATAATATTATATAAGGATGCTCATAGCAAAAGAAAAAGATAAAACTATATATTATATAGTTTCATTCTTCTCTTTTGCTATAGGTGTTTCTGTATTATAATTTTCTATTACTCAACTTAAATATAATTTATTTGCTTATTTTCTGTAATAACTTTTTTTTTAAATTAGTTAATTCTGACAATTTATTGCTTTTGTTATTAC